TTACTTCTAGACTTTGTTTTTTGTTAGTTGTTCTGTACATTCTACGTAGTACCTGAAATCTTAGAGCAATTAGGCAAGAAAAAGAAATGAAAGCATGCAAATTGCAAAGGTAGAAGTAAAATTGTCCCTTTTTGCAGATGACATGATCTTATATATAGAAAACACTGAAGACCTATTTTTAAAAACTCCTGGAGCCAATAAACAAATTCAGTAAAGTTGCAGGATACAAAGTCAATACACAAAAAATCAGTTGTATTTTACGTACTAAATGAACAATCTGAAAAGAACATTAAGAAAACAAATCTCACTTTATGACAGCATCAAAAAGAATAAAAGACTTCAGCATAAATTTAAGGAAGTGAAAGACTTGTACACTGAAAACTACAAAATATTGATGAAAGAAATTAAAGAAGACACAGGCAAGTAGATACTTGTATTCATGGGTTGGAAGACTTATATTAAGATGTCCATACTGCCCAAGGCAATCTTCAGATTCAGTGTAATCCCCGTCGAAATTCCAATGGCATTTCTTACAGATGTAGAAAACACAGTTCTAAAATTCATAGGCACCACGAAAGACCTTGAGTAACCAAAATAGTCTTGAAAAAGAACAGAGCTTGGGAAGCATCACACTTTGTGATTTCAGAATTGATCACAAAGGCGCAATAATTAAAACAGTTTGGTACTGGCATAAAGAGAGATGCCCTTTTTTTTTGGAACAGTTCTAGGTTTATAGGAAAGTAGCAGATGTAGTACAGAGCTCTCCTCATGTGCCCCTCAGCCAGTTTTCCCTAATGTCAGCATCTTATGTTACCAGGCCATGTTTGTCAAAGTTGAGAAACCAGCAATGGTGTATTACTGTTAACTAACCTGCAGGCTTTATTTAGATATCACCAGTTTTGCGCTAATGGTCTTAGTTGCAGGATGCGATCCCCAGTACCACACATCACATCTAGTCTGGGTCCGTTTTGAATAGTTTGCTGTCTCTTCCCATTATTCCCAATATTTCTGTGTTGTCAGCGGAGGCTCAATACTGTTGCCTTCATTTTTTCTGTAGAAGGTTTTTATGTCTTCATATTTGTACATCTGAGCAAACCTGCACCTGAGCAAAGATAATCACACTTGTTGGAAATGTGTGGAAAAGAAGAATAAACAGTTTCTGATTTTATAAGATTCTTTGGTGATTAACTTGTTTCAATTTGGGCCCGTAGGTACCAAACTGTTTTGGTGATTTACCTTCAGGAAATTAATGCCATGGCTCCCAGTGTACTTTTGGTGTTTGAGGTTAGCAGATCACTGAGCGCTCTGGTTTGTGATGTGTTGCTGTCCATGGCCCCCACTCATAACGTCTTGCAAAACTATAGCCTCACGACCAGAGTATGAGTCAAGATACAGAACATTTCCATCACCCAAAGACCCCTCTGTTGCCCTTTTATAATTAAACCGTTTTCCTTCCTGCCCCTGACACCTTTTTTTGGTGATGAGTGTTTTTTTGTTTTTTTTTTTATTGAAACCTGGATATATTTTGGTATTTCTGGATTCTGAATCTTATTAAGCCTTCTGTTTTAGCCGCCTTCTTTTGACACCACTCTGACAGAAGTGCCTGTTGCACTTGGTCACTGCCAGAAGGGTGCAGAAGGCAGGGTTCCCCACTAGGCCTCCACTCATACCTCCCTGGGATAGGGAGGGGGTTCCAGGCTGCCCAAGCATCTCCACAGACTCTGTTGCGGGATGGGTGGGTCAGATCCTTTTTAACAGCCTGACATGAGTGGGATGGAACCACAGTGTAGTCTTGGTGTTTGGCTGAATGAAATAGACCAATTATTGTCTGAAAGTTTTCTGTCTTGCTATGCGGTCCCTTACTGGCCCTTTGGATAGAGAGCAGACTTTTTGTTGGAGCTTTTTTCATCTGTGCTTGTTAGCATGTCCGGGCTGTGGGCGTCTTTAGCCCCAAATTCGTGATCTGTGAGGCGAGAAGAAAGCCAGGATGCTCAGCGCTGGGACTTGCCTTCAGGGCTGGGGCCCTATCCACTCTGCCTTCTTCTCTTCACCTTTTTGTTTCCTATGTTTTATATATATAATGTCCAAGGGTTTTAGTTGTACTTAGCTGGAAGAATTAGCAAAATACTTTATTCTCTTATTTTGGAATTAGAAGTCTACTTCATATCTACTTTTGCAGTATAGTTTTCTCAACAGCAGAGTTATCTTCCTAATTATAATTTGCTTATTACCTTATAAAAATAATTATTTTCTCAGGAATGTACCACCCAGTGAACATGTAAATATTCTGTATTTTTTCACATTAAATCAGGTAATTGAGTTTATTACATAATGTGGGCATTATTTATATAAAAACAACAGTTTTAAAAATGCTGTTAGCGACTTCAGTGTCTTTTAATTCTAGCAACGGCACTGCAACATTCAGAGAAATGATACCTGAATTTTTAGTGGATGCACAGCAGGAATTTTTCTCCAGAAAATCATTTAGTTAATCTATTTCATAGATTTCTTTTTTTTTTTTTTTAAAGATTTTTATTTATTTGAGAGAGAGAGAATGAGAGACAGAGAGCATGAGAGGGAGGAGGGTCAGAGGGGGAAGCAGACTCCCCGCTGAGCAGGGAGCCCGACGTGGGACTCGATCCCGGGACTCCAGGATCATGACCTGAGCCGAAGGCAGTGGCTTAACCAACTGAGCCACCCAGGCGCCCTATTTCATAGATTTCTTCAAGTATTAATAGCTATGATTAATGAATTTCTACCACAAGCCAAAATAGACATTTATTTGCTAACATGGTATTTTAGCTAAGAAAAACTTTTTTTTAAAGATTTTTTTAAGATGTCCATTTGGAGATTATGTATTTTTTCTTCCTTCTCCCTTCCACAGCTTTCCTTCCATAGGAGACTAATGCTTTTAATCTTTGTATGACTGATGAAGATACCTAAAAAAAATATTATACCAATATAGTGGTATGCCACTGGTGGGTACTAATATTATGATACTTTTCCTTTTTATTAATCTGTTGAAAATTAAAGAGTGGAGATTTGATAAGTTAACTGTTTGCAGTTGTTTATAGGAAATTGAAACAGCGTTTAAATCACTCTGCTAAGCTCATTTCAGTAGTTGGAGTCCCTTGTTCGAACATCAATTTCAAGCTCAGTTCTGTTTCTCTCATATTGTAGCAGATGGTTTTAGTTACAGATAATTCATGATATTTCAACAAAGTGCACATCCCCTTTAGCAAGAGATCTATTTCACTTTAATTAAAATAATACTAAACATTACTGCGTTTTGCTTAAGAGAGCAAATATTTGGAAAAGTTCATCCTCAGTTTTTGTGCATTTTGGACAGTGATATCTTCAGTCTTGTGAAGGCAGGGCTTTGTGTTTGCAGTTCTTAGTGTTCTCTCTCCTGTCCACCTTCAGTGAGGATTGAATTCATTCTTGCCTTGGATTTATCATATAACTCTGGATTGGTCACCTACGGGGTTTAATTTCAAATTCATGCCATCTTTGTCTCTGCCTCTCAGTTATATTTCCCATTTATGGGCATTATTTTAAAATTTCTTTACATTGCTCAAACAGCAGATAGGAGCCAACTACTTCATCTACCTACTTCATCTACCTAAAATAAAATTGAGAATCAGTAAGGAAAAAGAATTTCTGTGCAGCCATATTGGGCACACAAGCTCATGTTCTTTACTTAAGCCTTGCAGATGTCCACCTTTATTGATGATGAGAGAAATGTACGGCTTAAAGTAGGCTGTGTTATTTTTCACTTCTTAAATTAAAAAGAATTTAGGGGGCGCCTGGGTGGCTCAGTCGTTAAGCATCTGCCTTCAGTTCAGGTCATGATCCCAGGGTCCTGGGGTCGAGCCCAGCATCAGGCTCCCTGCTCCGCGGGAAGCCTGCTTCTCCCTCTCCCACTCCCCCTGCTTGTGTTCCCTCTCTCGCTGTGTCTCTCTCTGACAAATAAATAAATAAAATCTTAAAATTATAAAGAATTTAAATAATGGTAATACCAGTGTTGAAAACAATGTCACCATCTGAAAACTCTCATACCTTTTAAATTTGTACTAACCATAGGAAAAACAACTTGATAATATGTATCCGGAATCATAAAATTGTCTGTGTCTTTTAGTAAATTCTTCTAAAGTAGAGCTAGGTGTAAGGAAATAATCTGAAATGTAGAGAACAGCACTTGTGAGGGATTATTTGGCAATATTAGAATTGTATTTATACCACGATTATTTCAACATGCCTACAACAAAAATTATGAGATGAATAGATACAGAATTCTTAAAATGTGTTGGAGTGGAGTTTTTGTGTGATAGTATAAATTTAAAGAGCAGCACTAATTGTGTAGCTGTAAGTTTGGCGCATGCGCAGAAAAGACAAAGGCGGCCACAGTGTTTTCTGTTTGGATCGTTATTAGGAAATGGATTGGTGGGTTCCTTTTCGTTTTATTTCTTTGGATTTCCAAATATCCCAGGGGGAGAAGAGGAGTACGTGTTTGTTTTGTTTTTTTAAATCTGTTTTTCTTGATTTCTTTCTCTTTTTCTCTTAACCGGAAGCATACATGTGAATGTCAGTAGCTTGGCAGCGCAGGAGAGGGCAGTGTTTCTTGTCGGTCCTGAGGGCCTCCCTGAGCTGCCCCAGGAGCACCTGATCTGCCTAGGAGGAACCCAGACAGTTGTGTTTAAATGCTCTGCGGCATGTTCTTTCTCCCAGGTTCTGAATCTTTACGTGGATGAACCCTGAGCTGTTGAGAAATCGGGCTCATCGGACAACTTAGGCTCAGAGGCCCTAGGGAACTGAGGATGGACAGACTGAATGAAATCTCCGGCAAACTTTTCCACAGTGGGACTATTTGAGAATCCCTTGTAAGAAGGGAGGCAGAAGCAGTTGTGTTGCTGCAGAGGAGATTACAAAGCCTTGTAGTCACAGGGAAGAGGGACGTGTTTTGCCTCTTTAACACAGTGTGGCTCCTCTCTGTCCCACAGCTGGCCCTGAAGGACCCCGTGCACACGGTGTCGCTGCAGCAGTTTATCTACGAGAAGCTTAAGGCACAGCAGGAGCTACTGGGAGAGCAAGGCTTCCAGTCCCTCATGGAGACGGTGGACACAGAGATCGTCACCCAGCTACAAGAGTTTTTGCAGGGCTTCTGAGAGCACATGACCTGTGGCTGCCTCCCCTTTCGGAGACAAGCTGAGGAACCCAGCCTGCCGTCTGTGTGTGAGAGCCTGCTGAGGCGATGAAGAAATCCCTCGTGTATTACAAAGACGTGAAGACCATGCATTTTTACTACAAAATTGAGTGAATAAATATACATCCCGCACAACTAAAATCACAAACCTATTCCTCAAAAGAATTTAATTTTGTATTTCAGAGGGGCCCTGTGTTTACTAGATATAGATTTGATGACACTAGCTGCTTAGTTTTCTGTTAAGAGAGAGGAAACCGTGTGATTACCTTTTAATCATGTGCTCTTAACACTTGAGAAGATGAAGGTTAATGTCTGCGATGTCTTTCTGCAACCAGAATTAGTATTAATTTGGCTGCTTTATCCCTTTTTTAAGCTAATGAAACTGCAAGTTTGAAAGATGACAAAGCTGTTCAGATGATGCGATTGAAGAAATGTGTGCACCAGGCAAGAATATATAAATAGTGACAAATATATATTACTGAGGTTATCTTGCAAGGGAGTTGCTTTCATCTGACCTAGAAAATATGTTTTATCAAATGCTTTTATTTTCATTTTACTAATTTGATAAAAAAAATTAGTAAAGGAATTTTTTTCTCATTTTATTTTCAGTAATTACATTTAGTCTTTAAATGCATATCGTAAGGCCCGCAGAAGGGAACCTGTGGTACTGCGGCATCAGGTGGGAGACCTCTGGTCATGATTTGGCCCCAGCTCCTTTATTACTCCTGAAGGCCAGGAGCGCTGTGAGCCCCGAGAATCCCTGGGCAGCCCGCAGACCCCCCTGTGCTATGACGTGGCTGTGACAAGCCGCTCCGCACTTACCCATCCCAGGCTCCTCACCGCAGCGGTGCATCGGGCCCACAGTATTATGGGTGCACCTCGGAGGACCCAGCAGCAATCCCCAGGGTACCAACACTCATGTGACAAGTCTTCCTTCCTTATTCCTCCAACACGCAGTACCAAAAAAGGGGAAAAGGAGAAAATAAAGCCTTACTTTGTTTTACTTGCCATTTATTATAAGCAACCTTTAAAGCATTTTTAAGGAAATACTCAAAAGCAAGGTTGGAAAATGATCTTTCTATAGAAAGTTGGGTACAGTATGTGACTGCAGGAAACCCACTGCCCCTTTGTAAGCTCTGGAACCCAAAATGTATGGAAATACTTGGTGTTTTCAGCAAGAGAAAGAAAATATGGTCCAAATTAAATTTTCCAAAGCTACCTTTGATTTGTCTGATTATTTTTCCCCGCCCCACGAAAAATGAGTTTGTAAAAATTGCCCCATGGATTTGAAAGGGATGTTTTCTTTCATGCTCTGGGTGTTGGCTCTGCCCTGGTAGGTGGTGGTGCTGTATGTAGCAAATCCTAGTTATTCTTCTTTTAGTTCCTCTTTTCACTTAAAGACTTAAAAGTTTCTCTAGTGTGATATTTCTTTATCATTTTTATTCAGTCCTCAAGACTGATCTAAGAAGAAGAATTTCTTTTTGTTGATGTAATTATTTTCATTTAGGGCGCTATTCCCAGCGTTACCAGAAATTCTCACATGTGCTCCAGTTTTTCAGTTATGGTAAAATAACTCCTCTTTTCCAGTTCCCGACAGATTTCATTATAGTGTTATAGCAAATATTACTAAAATAGCTACATTGCAGAAACAGTAAAAAACTTACCTCAGGGAGAGTTTGGTTCATTTTTTTATTCTGAAACGTTTAAAATAAGCTTTAAGTAGGAACATTAAGTAACATGACTTAAGGGACATTAAGTAGGAAATGTTTAACACAGCTCAGAAAAAAATCATGTATCTTGAAGTTTTAAGTGCTCAATTAGACATAAAATACAAGTTTTGATTTATGGAATTCTGTTCATTAATGCAGCCTTATAGCAAACATTATTAAGTTTTGGACAAACGAGTAAACTCAGGCCTCTGGTTGAACTGTGGCTCCTGATACAAGGTAATGGTCATTTCTATTCCATAAATATAGCTTCTTTTCTTTTTATCTTATGTTTCAGAGACTTCTCCATTCCTCTAACAAAGGCCCATGTGGCCAACAAAAACATTTTAAAGTTTTTATTACAAGTGGTCCTTTGTCCATCTGTCTCCCACCAGTCATTTTAGAGAAACCACATCATTGCATGTTAAACACTCATGTTTATTGTTTCCCTTGAGAATCTTCACCTTAGATCTTTATTTTACCTATTCCTCTCCAACTTGTAATTGTTCAAGTTCCTGTTTTGTGCCATGGTGCTATGCTAAATTCTGGGATTAGAACACGGTACTTACACCTTATGAAATTTTATAATTCAGTGGGAACACATACTTGCCAACATGCTATTAAAAGATAGTGGTTCTAATGGAAACGTATGTTCCGGAGCAACAGGAATGCGGGGGACGGAGACCATATACAAAAGAGAATGTGTAATTTGGTATGTATTTAAAAACTACCCTGAGACAGCATAGTTTGGCGAAGTTATGTAGAAGTCAGTGGCATTATGCTGCAACTGGGACGCTCTGATTTCAGACTCAGCTGGAACTGGGACGCTCTGATTTCAGACTCAGCTACTTGAAATTACTCTGACATACGGTATCATCAGTGAGATTCTGGAAATGTTAGAGCTCAACAGCTTCACAACTATCCCTCGTTCCACGAATTAAAACAAAGCTCACCTATTAAGGGTAGTGGTCGTCTGCTCTGCTTTTACGAACCTTGTAAATCCCACACGAATAAAAACTTAAAAGTTGTCAAAGTGATAAAAGGAAGACGAGAGACATGTCGTGGAAAAAAACAACTTTCTTCCCTCAACTTATAAAAACATTTTAGTCTACAGAAGCATTGAGAGAATAGTATAACGACCAACAGCCCTTTATCTGGCTTCACAGTTGTTTAACATTCGCCATACATATGTACACACACACACACACACACACAGTTTTGCTGAATCATGAAAGTAAGTTATAGACACTCCACCCCCACATAGTCCAGCATACCTCTAAGAATGGCATTTCTCTATATATCTACTAATACGTTAGAAGGTTCACACAATAATATAAACAGTTCATACTCCAGTTTTCCCCAATACCCCAAAGATGTCTTTTATATGCTGCCCATTAGTTTTACGATCCAGAATCGATTGAATGTGTATTCATTGCATTTGGCTGTTCAATTTTTAAATCTAGAATAGTCCTTTTTACATGTCATTGGCTTTTTTGAAGAATCCCAAGCAGTCGTCTAGTAGAATGTCATTTACAGTCCAGGGTTCTGATTATTTGCTCATAATTCGGTGCGGTTAACATTGGTTGGCAATGAGACTGCATCAGTAATGTGGTAACCTGCCCTGGCATCACGTCCGGAGGCCCGTAATGTCTGCTTGCCTCCCTGGTCATACTATAATGGTTAAGGTGGTGATAGCCAGGCCTCTCCTTTATAAGGATAAGTTTTCAAAGAGAACCTTAACAGTCCCAGAAATTTCCAGTGGTGGTTATGTTTCTTTTGTTCTGTTTTTACCCTAGAATTCTTAACCGCTACTAGCCTGCCTTTTCATTCACAAAAAGTTCTGCAATTGTATATTAACTGGAAAGGTCTTGTGGCTGAGCTATGGAAAAAGTATACTGAACCTGGTGTGGGTTTCATCAGAACCTTTTCAAGTTCTGAACATTATTGCCTTGGCACACCTCTTAGCCAACACTTCTTTCCTCTTTTTTTCCTCTTCCCTCAGTCTCCCACCCCCTCATGTTTTTGAGGGGTATATAGATCTTGGTAAATACCAGTATAAGCTGAACTCAAACACCACTAAAAATGAAGAAACAAAGGGAGGTGCTGTCTTTCTATTTCTCATTTGGGTTTGTAAGCCATTGGCCAGGAGGTAAAAATAGTTTTTATTATTTTTATTTATCTTTTCTTTAAAATGCTTTATCACATTTGGACTGGACTTAAAAGGCAGAAACATGCCAGACTTTAGAGAGTTTCCATTTCGTGTGCTTTAGGAAGAGAAGCAGTACATTATCAGCTGGCAAAACGGGGAGAGAAAAGAAAATAATCATTTCCTGAAATGTGCAGCTTTGATCTTGGTACCTCCATAGGACTGACATCTGAAACAGCAGTTTAAAGTCACCCTTTTCTCCTCAAGAAGAAGTGCATTCTGTCCCAATCACATCCAAATTAGAACCTGATGTCCTGTGAAGATCTAGCCATGGAAGCTCAGACTTTTTCCACAGCTGCTGCTCATGTCTGAGTAGAGCTTTAGAGCCCTTACGTGAATACCCTAATGCCCTGGAAAAGGCTCTAGCTATTAGTCTGAATTTCTCCGTTTTTAGTTCTGGGAAGTTGAATTCCTGGCCTGAGGGACTCCTTGTGGCCGGCAGCATTTGGATAAAATTCAAAACCAAGAGGCATTGACCACATTTTCTCTTGAATTCTTTCTTACTCTAAGAAGTAGAGTCTCCAATTAGCCAAAGATTTTAACAAGCAAGATTTGCTCCTTGTTCTAGCTAATGCTGGCATCCGACTCCTTTGGACCACTGGAATTTATTTAGTCAAGTGTGCTTTGAAGAACTGTCTAATCCAGGAAGGAAATGTATTGAAGTCTGGCCATCCAGCCCTTTCTTCCTTCAAAATGAAGTATTGATTTTCATGCCACTTTAATTTCCCAGGAGAGCAAAAATGGAATGGAAGTAACTCCCAGAACAGGTATGAGTCCAGTGAGGCTTAGCACACTTAATCTGTCTGGTACTGGGCACTTGGTTTTAAATTTGGAAATTGGCCTTGTGACTAGAAGACTGCCAGTTGGGGATTTTTATTGCTGGGGTTAGAGCATGAAAGGCTGGAGATGAGACTGGGAGTAGACCTTCAAGTGAGCTTTTCAATATTTCTCAGTAGCTTTAACCTGAAGCAAGATCAGTATCTCATTTCAGGAGGGGCAGGTCATTTTCCCAGTGCTCTCTAGGCTAGCCCCAGAGTGACTTTTTTTCCTTCTTTTTCCTTTTTTAATGAACTGCAATTTAAGCAGTGATCTAGAAGAGCAAAACTTTTTGATTGACAAGGAAGTTGTAGCTCATCACCGTGTACACTGACCTCAGAAGTGTACTGACAGCCAGCCAGGAAACGAAAGTCTATGGACAGATCTGGAGGTAATCACTATGAGCTCTATCTAGGGAAGGAAAGCAGCTTGGTTTATTTCCTTTTGGATTGAAAGTCCCATATCTTGTCCTGTCTCTGGCAATGAAATCAATACCGTGAAATGGCCTTTTCCTTTCAGCCTGGCGTGTTCTTTACTCAGCACGATGTGCTGAGAAATGGGGAGCCAGGTGAGCAATATTTTAAGTTCCCTGTCTGATGGTTCTAGTAATTCTAACACCTGTGTCATTTTTTTTTATTATATTCGGTAGGTAAGCTTGCTGAAAGCAAATTACAGTATGGAAAGAGGAAAGCCCAAACTTAATGAAGTAATAGATTAGGGAATTGATCATTTTAATGGGCTGTTATACCTTACAAAAGCTCCTCCTTGCAGATATCCCTCCTTGTAGATAGAGTTAAAAAAAGGTTGGCTATTTATTTTGATTCATTTTTTTTTCTTTTTGTCAGCATTTAGAGCAGGAAGGGAATAAGAAATGACTGTCTTACCTTACTATTTCACATGAAGAAATGGGCCCAGAAGGTGAGGCATACTGCCTTGGGTTCCTCAATAATATATATGTATTTGAAAGTTAGTGGTTGCCTATGTTTACACTGTACATATTTAATCTACCTTCAAATAACACTGTTCTTCATATGTAGTGCATGTAGTGTAGATACCTTATAGCAGAGTATTCCCAATTCCTACCCCCATCCCTTCTGATGTTGCTACCACTTGTCTCATCCATATTCTATAATCACCAGTATGTTGTGACCTTATCGATCAATTAAGAATTCAAAAACTCAAAGATTTGATCTACCTTCATTTGTTTCTGCCCCAACCCCCATCCTTTCTTCATGTAGATCCAAATTTGTGACCTATATAATATTCCTTTTAACATTTTTTGTTTTGCAAGATAGATCTTCAGGTGATAAATTCCTTCAGTTTTTGCTTGTCTGAGGAAGTATCCCCAAATTTTGAAGAATATCTTGCTGCATATAGAATTCTAAGTTGGAGGGTTTTTTCTTTCAGTGCTTTAAATATTTCACTTCATTGTCTTCTTGCTTCCATGGTTCCTGAAGAGAAGCCCACTGTTACTTTTAAAAAAAAAAAAAA